GCGATGATGAATGAATTGTCGACCGCGACGGAAAACTTTCGCGTCGCCCTTAAACAATTTATCGACGAGGGATTATCGATTTACGATCCACCTGTTGGAGCCCGATAAGCTACCTGAAAATTACATCTGCTTCTCATCTTTTCAACGCAATTGCAAATTTAATCGCAGATAGAAGTCTCTGGGCGAATCCTAAATGATGAAAGAGGCACTTTCGCGCGAAAGTTTTCATATGGAATTAAAATATACATATTTTCTAATTTTATCTCCCGCACCCACGTGCCCGTTCTGGAAAATTCAATGTCAGGGAGAGAAATCCGTATTATGGAAGGGCATTTTTTTTTATCACCCCCGTCTCCGGCCGATCGATTATATCGCGTGTAAGGGGACAGCATAAAGGAAGATAAACCACTCGAGCCACTTTACATGATAAAATGTCAATGTTGTCAATGTCGTTTCGCCTGCCGCGGGCAGACCTTCGCGAAACCTTCCGGTTATTATCGATCACGTCGTCTACCTCTCGTTACATATTCCCCTTTTCGTCATTCCGAGTGACATGTAGGCTGCCACGCGCATTGTTTGGTGACTCGAGTCTCGTCGCGGACATTTTCGCGGGAGAAACGCGCCAAGTGTTTTGCAACGCGAAGAACACAGTTATTCCGCCTCACCCGTGTATCGTCGATCCGTAATAATTCAAGGATTTTGGTTCCTGCGAGAAGCAAATGTAATTTTCAGCAAGTCACGCGAGATGCGACACAAGTGAAAAGTAGCAATTTCAGAACGATTTTAAACTTTCAATTCGCTCGCAGATCGTACCCCAACCACGTGGTGCTGCTAAATTTTCATCCTTTCCCTTTTCTTACCTCGCTGTATCTGGTTTTCTTTGTAACGCGAGACTCGTATTTTTCTTTCAATGAAAAGTTCCTTCTCCTTTCCCTCGATATTTTTAAACGAAATACAAATTTCACGTCGATCCTTCCTCGTTAAATTATCGAAACGCGAAAACTCTGTAGTTTTTTTTTACTTGCCTTTTCTCGCGCATAGACGCGTTTATTGTGGAGGAACTTATTCCAATTTCCAGCTACAAGATTTGTTTTTAAAACGCGAGGATACAGAAAATGAAAATATATCAAACTGAAAATAGCTTTGAGCAATTTTAAATCTCCCACTCTCTGCAGCTTTTGGAGCGAAATATTCATTCTATTGGAGTAAATATTCACCCAATGGAATATTTACTCCAATAGAGTAAACATTTCACCCCATGGCAGTTCACTCCAACCTTTAGGAAACGGTATTCCATCACTTTTCTTTTTCACAAAATTTTATACGCAACACTACAGCATTGCATCGTTCCATAATTCTCAAATCACTAACTCTGTAAAAGTTAATCACTGAATTATCGCTGAAAACGGCGAACAGTCACTGATTTGCAGTTATAAGTATACTACACAGTTGGAAAATTTGTTTTCTTGTTCAAAAAGATGCCGGTTAAAATTTTTTGTTAAATGTTTAACATTAATTTAATTTAACATATTGCTCTTGTGTGAATTGACCTCAAATGTAAATTTATTAAAATAACTAAAAAGAAATGTTAAAACAACACAATGTGTACTTATTTTTTAATCTTACACAATACATATGTTCTATATTATTAATAACAAGATTTCTCTGTTAACATTTACAGAATAAAATGTTGATTTTATTCTACATATATAACATAAGTGAGAACGATTTCAAACCGTCATTTAACCTATTACATCTAAAAAGTGTAAAAATTGCATTTAAAAAATTTATTTTGTCATTAAAAGTACGTTAATTTTACAGAAAATTTATTTTAAATTATTTTAAGATTCGCACTTATTTTGTGTTAAAATATTAACAGAGTATTAGTGTGGTCTTTTAACGTATTCATATTATGTTAAATTAACACAAAACTTTGTGTGGACCGTTTAGGACATGTGAGATCTGTTAAATTTAACACAAATTTTTCAACTGTGTACTGAAAACTGCAGTGGCATACTTCATCCTCAAAAAGGATTTCTGTTACCCAGACAAAAAATATTCTTGTCGCATTTATATTTCTCGCAATCTCATTTAGAATTAAAATAAAATCAGTAATCCAGTAGAGGAGTATACTTAAAGTCACCAGCGATGAATAAAATTGAAATAAAACCCAGGTATCAGGTCCTTATCAAGTAACCGAACTCGTGCATCGATGCTCGCAGAGCATAAATTATAGTATAGCAGACTCACAGGTCACTGTCAACGCAGGAAATCGTCAGAAAAATTATTTTAACTTAAGCGAACACGTTCGCGCGTTGAAAATCAATAATTCTTATCTCTATCGAATTAGAAAAGATTGACTTACTATATTGAGACAAGGGTAACTTATATAAATGTAAGTTTACGCATTCTTGCGTTTAGAATAAATTTTCCCTCCATCTTACAACGCACTAAGTTGATTTTATAATTTTTCATCTAGGATTAAAATATTCCTTTCTCTATAATAAATATGATTGGCGCTATGTCGATCCTGTTTTACGATACACTGAAGCGCAATAGCATTGGATCAGGAAATGTTTTCTGTGGGTGTTACAACTGTAAATCAGTGACTATTCACCATTTTCAGTGATAATCCACTGACTCTAACAATAACAGAGAAGATAAGGTTCTAAGAGAAACCTCGTTTTAAGGGGAAAAAAATTTTTGCTCGGGACGCAATCTCTCCAGATGCATCACGACGATATTAATATCGCTGGCGGGGAACCATGGAAGTCGCGAGACTGCGCGAAACTTGCTCGGGGCGAGAATCGGGTAAACGGACCAAGTTTTAATGAGAATTTCCGAAATGGCCGAAACGGGAGTGCCGTGTGAGAGTTGAGACGCGCTTTCGATGAGCTCTGATTACGCTCGCGCGTCAACGTCATTCGTCGGATATTATTTCTTCGCCGCGATCCAGGGCGGTCTCAGGACGATCTAGGCTGGTTGCCGGTCGAGCCTGCCTGCGACAGGATACCGAGGCTAATCAATTTCTGCCGCGCGGAACGTCCGCCTGTATAACGGAGCTTTAAGCGCCCGCGTGCTCCGGATTAATCGCGTGCAACTGCGGCGAAGTGGAGGCGACGTGAGGTAATTTAGCCGCGGGAAACTGATTCGGCCTATTCCCAGGCGCGATGCGTGTCGTTATAAATGTCCCTTTTCCAGAACCCCCTTGCGAAACGCGGCGCGACGTAATTTCGGAACAGCCCTGGAAAATCGTGCCCGCGCGATTGGAACCGGTTCGCTTCCGGCGAGATCGGTTCTCGTGAGTTTATCGTAAACACGGACAGAAGCGAGCCACGCTACTTTTTTTGCCGCGCGTGAGACCTTCAACATTGCCATATTCTTCTTTTATTGCTAATGCGGGGATAAATGAAACAGGAGGTGCGCGTGAACGAAATAAAATATTCATTGAATCGGTTACAACGGAAAGGACACGTGTGCCGTGTCGAAATACATATTTATATACATACGTATTTGAGAAAAACGAAAGACCGTTTAGCAATCAATACATTTTTCAGCGCACAGTTGAAAAATTTGTGTTACATTTAACAGATATCACATGTCCCAAGCGGTCCACACAAATTTTTGTGTTAATTTAACATAACATGGATATGTTAAATGATCACACTAATACTCTGTTAATATTTTAACACCAAATAAATGCGAATCTTAAAATAATTTGAAATAAATTTTCTGTAAAATATTTTTAGTGACGAAATGAATTTAGAAAAATATAATTTTTACATTTCACAGATGTAATAAGTCAAACGACTCCCACTTATTTTACATAGAATAAAATTAACATTTTATTCTGCAAATTTTAACAGATAAATCTTGTTACTAATAATATAGAACATATGTATTGCGCAAGATTAAAAAATAATTATACACTGTGATGTTTTAACATTTCCTTTCAGGCATTTTAATAATTTTACATTCGAGGTCAATTAACACAAGAGCAATATGAAAATTAACACATGAATGTGTTGAACATTTAACGCAAAAATTTTAACCGGCATTTTTTAACAAAAAGAAACACAAATTTCTTCAACTGTGTAGGTACGCAGAAAGAAAGAACATTCTTCTTTTGAAAATATGTTTAGTTTCAACGTGAAATCTTGAAACGAGATTATACTTTCTTGAATAAAGCGATTTTACATAATTCAATCAAGAAAAATATATGCTTATTACTTAAGAATAATTTTCTTGAACGAAAATAAAACGATATTGAATGGACATTTTCAAATCGAAGATTCTAATAATTAAAATGATTTTATTGTCAAAATAATTGCACGTGTTCCTGAAGCGACAATTACAGTATTTAAACAAGACTGTAACATTGTCGGAATGTAAGATTATTAAATGCTTCTAAGAAGAGTACAGACTGTTGCGTACCCACCAAACAATGAACGCGTTGAGTATGCAGGAGTTGATCTGACGCTTTTTTTCCGCGCAGGTTTCACGCCACTTCGACCCCGCAGGGTTTCTTAAGTAAGTTTTGATCGGAAAACAAAATTCTCTAAACGGATGCGCGTGATCCGCGCGGAGCGAGGATACGTTCACGGCTCGATTTCGGCCGAAACGGCACGCGTTCCTCCCTTTCTGTTCTCACCGGTTCAATTTTCGGCTGCGAGTGACCACGCCGTAAAGACTAAGGCCGAGATATGGCGCTCGGGGAAGGGGGGGGGGTGGTGGAGTGACGAAAACTCGACTCCGACAGGGAATTTCCGAAATGCCGCGTCGAAGACCCGCCTCTCCGCCGGAGACGCGCTCGAGCGCGAGTGACTCGGTCGCGAGTACGACGCGAAAGTCGAGGAGCGCGTTATAGGGCGGATTTTCGGCGTCGCGTCGACTGGCGTCGCGGGTGATTCCGACTCGACGAAACGCTACCGGCTCCGATCGGCGAGGCCGGCGGCACCGCCGCCGCCGCCGCCACCGCCGCCGCCGCCGCCACCACTTACCTGGTTCAGCGTAGTCGGGATGATGTCAGGTGTCTGCGGCAGCATCGTGGTGGGCGTTCTCGCGGGTTCCTCGAATCAGAGCGGTCTGCAGGCACGCGTGGCCGGTGACATAATCGAGATCGGCGACGGGATGAAAACACCTTGACGGTACACACTACGAGATCGATCACGAGCCGCACTCCGACAGTCCTCTCGCTCACTCTCTATCTCTCTCTCTCTATCCTTCGCCGCCCTTTCTCTCTGGCGTCCGTTGAGCTTTCGCCACTGTACCGACGCCCGTGTCCACTCGCGGCACTCGCCGAAATACGCGGCCGTTACACCGACGCGCGGAGCAACGTGCGCGTCTCGCGGCCCGCGGAAATCCCGAGGAATCCTTAGCCGTGGTTGCGTAGAAAAAGCGCTGGAGCGTCAGCGACGCACGAAACGTATCCTCGCGCCTCGAGGATGTGCGCGGGACTAACCGATCCGGGCGGTGTAGCTGCCGGGCCGAGCGCTGCCGAGTGGCGCCGAGCGCCGCCGAGCGCCGGCGGAGACGGCCGAGGCTCGGCCGTCATCCCCCGCGCGGACGCGTACGCGCCAACGGCGGGCGTTTCGGCAACGTTTTCTTCCTTTCGTCCACTTTTTTCGCACGCTTACTCGAAGCCGTTTGAAACGGGGCTCGGGCGTTTACGCGTAAAATATAATAATTTACGTCTACGCACACATGTGCGCGGGGGTAAACTATGTTTAACGCGTTTCATGACCGGCGAGTTTGGCGGAGAAACGAGCCTTATGCCCGTTTCTACCAACGCAGCGTGTCTTGAAAATCTCGGTTCGGCTTACTTCGTATCCTTTTTTCTAGTTTTGCGCAAAAGATAGGAAGGAATTTAACCGAGACTGAAGTTGATCCGCATCGGTTGAGTTTTATAAAAGTTCTTAAGGTTTGAAATTGAAATCGAAGTTTACGCGTTCATCGACCAAACTGTAAGATTCCAAATGCATTCTATAGATGTTAATCATGAAAACATTCAAAAAGATAGATATAATTTAAAAAATTTGCTATAGAAACTAATCTGTACGCGGAAAAAAAGTGTAGCTCCCGTCGCTAAAAACTGCATGTGCAATTTTGCATTCAGTTACTATTATTTAATTTGACCACAATTTTTAGCATGAAAAATTAACGGATCAGAAATATGTTTTCAATATTCCTCGCGCGTCCTATATTTTCTGGAAACCACGCGCCTCAAATCGCAACCTTCTTATCCGCGAACCGTAGAAAGGAATTCAGGACTAACGTTAAAAATATTCTAATCGCGTTTCTCGGTGTGTGATTTTGCGTACGATTGTTTCCCAACGTTATCTCGTCATCGGTACATTCTTTCAGCGTATCGTAACTCCAATCGAATAGTTTCGCGTTTTAACTTCCTTTCTTTTAAATAAGAGGCTCTCGGACGAAAGCAACGAGGAAAGGATTGAATTGTTTCCCTGAAAACTTAGGAATTTGGCTAATTTTGGCCCTGTATTGTACCGTCAAAATACGGACATAATAATTTTTTTAGAAGAGAATCCATTGAGGATTCATAACGAGTAAAAGTCAATTTCTCAGATTTGCCCTTGAGAAAATTTACTTTAAATGAAATTAAAGTTTTCAAAAGTAATCTTTAAATCTAGGAGTTTACTTAAAGAAGTTGAAAGTTTATTAAAAAAATTTTAGAGTCATTTTGTATACCTGAAGTAATTTTTAGACAGCCAAGCCTGTCGAAGTTCCCGCCAGAGGGTCGCGCGGCACTGCACTTTTTCGTAAGAAGAAAACCGCGGTATTATAAATTATATCACATACTTTTCACAATTCTCCAAGTTTTCTTAAAGTACGTTTCAAGTTCACCTGAAATAAAGGTTTAAAGTATCCGGATTCACTTTTCATTATTTTTCTAAAGTAAAATTTCAAGGTTTCCCAAGGGTGGCTCCGCGATTATACGGTACACGCAGTAACGAGCGAACAAGGCAGAAATTTCACGCGTTTCCTTTGCAAATTGACCCCATGTACGCGACGCTCTCGTATATGTATTCGCCGTGTAACGGTTGCCGCGCAGGTAGCGTAATGGTCGTATCTAAAGCTGTTTTGCAAATAACAAATTCCCCTCCCTCCGCCGCCGCTGAGGCAAAACCGTATTTCTAACTGCGTTTAATGTACGCGATATTCTTGAATTAATCCACCTCCTTGGCTCTCTCTCCACACTTTTCATTCAGCATTGTTTGCGCTGTGCTGCTCGTTTCCGAAATTCCTGGTCGGATGTTTTTGTATCAAACAACCCGGCTATTTCTGATCAACACGTGCGCGAGAATGTTTTTCAAGCGCCCACTACAAGTTTACAGTATTGCCCATGCGTCTTCATTAACGTAGTTAAAGGAAAACTGCTCCGTTTTCTTTTCGGTATATTAATAAGTCTTTCTCTTTTACAAATTTCCTGTTTAAAAATTTTCTGTATAAACATGGTGTATAATTTTATATATAACATTTTACTTATAATATATATAGGTTAAAATCATATAAAAGTGCCCTACTTAACTCTTTCTTTTTCTTTGTGCATTTACTTCAAGACAGTTTAAAAAGACAGATAGTACGCGCGCGCGCGCGCGTGTGTTTTTTATTTTTAAAACTGTCTTAAAGTAGATATACAAAGAAAGAGAAAGAGTAAAGTGGGACATTTTTTTATTTACATGGACATGTAGGAAGGAGAGTGCAAAAGACGGGGATAAGGACGGGAGCGCCAGGAAAAAGTGAAACAAAAGGACGCGGTTAAAAATAGTGGACCGGTTACGTCAACCGGTCCCTCCAAGGACCATGGCCCATTATATTATTCTCTTTTCCACGCCGTCTCCATAGAATGCCTCGAAATGCCAGAAACCGAGGCGAGAATAACGATAATGTATCTCGCGCCATCGCGCCGGGCATTTATATCCGTCGAACAGTCGGAAAAATTTATGAGGACACCGGACGATAGATCGTATTATCGCTTCTGTAAATTCTCACGCGGGATCTTGCGTGCGTTAATTTACGCATTGGATTTTAAATGCGATTTAAATACTGCAATTATACCGGCAACCATTAAGAATTAAATAGCAGGATCAATTTAAATGCTCGCGATAAAATATTTTTCGCGATGCCTGCTTGGAATACATTAAAGTAGACACCCGCTGCAAAATGATGCCATGCGTAAATTACTACGTTAAATTAATTATATTAAAAATTCAAAATTGTGTGCTTTGATGGCGATAATTTCATCCGCTTATTAAATGCATAAAAATTACTTACATATGAATTACATTGTATTACTATTAAATCGCGTTGGTCATTGTAATACGCAGTTTCAATATAAATATTGCAATGTCATGTAACAGACCAACATATCGTCGAGCGAAAATAAAAATAGTAAACGGTATGTTAAGATTAAATTATTAAAAGTAAGAAGGTAGGTTTCGGACAGGAGCGTTAAAAATTGACTAACAACAGAGCGGAATTTCCACGCGCCACACCTGTTTAAAGTAGCGACGAGTAAACTGACTACGTCACACACACACAAGGCATGAGTCACAGCGAATGAATCTCCATTAATGTCAATGCCAGATGACGTCTCCGTGAATTCCGTGATGTTCCTTATCGAAATAAGGCGACGCTTTTCACCGACGACGAAATGTACGAATTCCATGACGCAACGCAACACCGTAATATGTAAATACCGATGCCGTATTAGTCACCTCTCTCAGCCTCGTCTACGTTTCACATTTATTGGAAATTGTTGGAATTCATCGATCGGCAAAATTAGAGCTAAACGTGAATAACGCCGATTCATAAAACGTCGTCTATTGAGCCAATGTTTACGTTAAATGTATTGCGATCAGTCTTGCGGCTTTACAAATCGATGCAACGGGAATGCGCTTTCCTTTTTAGAGAGCGTCCGTTTTTATCCTCTTATCTGATAAGAATATTTGCAACTGAAAGGCAGTACACCTAATAATCTCTTAGCGATACGCCCCTTCGCAGCATCGCTATAGCTACGAGATACTTATGTGCTTATCAATCTCGGCACATTATTATACTACAATATACGCAGGTGGAGAGAGGAGAGAAATTTCATACGCACATATCCTATTCGAAGATAACTGTAACTTTAATAAGAATGTTAAATGTATGCAAATACGCCAGTAAACTATTTTTGTCGCATGACGGGGTATTAGATATTATCTCGAGCAATTTTCATACTTTGCGCTATGCATTATTCATTTGTATTTGTGTATATGTATCGTGTACAGCAATGGACAGAATGGTCGCGACACTTTTTCTTCAATGAGTTCAGGAGCCGCGCATTTACATTCACGTTTACGTTCCAAGACATTTTCCCCGAGGAAAATTTTATTCGAGAAATAGATCGAGAACGCTCAAAATAGCCATTGAGTAAAATACTCCTCGGAGAAGATTTTGAAACGTAGCCCTGAGTCTAAATGCACGTTCCTAAACCCGTTATAAAAAAACAAAACAAGTGTCGCAATCTTTCTGTCCAGCACTGCACACACACACGTAAACTTTTATTATTGGGTAATTTTTATTTTATTTCTTTCGTCTTATAGAACGATTTACCGTATTTCCGTGGAAATTTTCATTTCGAAAACCCACGGCGGGTTGCCCTTTACCGGCCTAACTCGCATGCATAAACCAATGTGGCTGAAATTAAAATCGCGGGCCACTTTCCTCGCGCAACTTTCTATGACCCACATCCCGCGTCCTGCCAACGAGATCGCCTTTATTCGCATCGTCGAATGCTCAATTTCCGGAATAATTCGCCGTCGACTTCCACAGATGAGTGACTCTAAATCAGTCTGTCATTTGCATATCCATTCGTCGCAGCGGTTGCGAATTACAGCCAACGTAGGATAAACCGTAAGATAGATTTCGCTGCTGTGCGGCGAGCAGTTTCGTTATTATTCCAACAAATGGGAAGAAATGTTTCCAAGAAAAGAAAAAACTACGCGTATTTTTCGGAAATGCTACGCGATGCGTTAGATTTTAGCGAATAATATGTTGGCTGCCGTAAATTTTTTACAAATGGCTTGTAAGAAACACGGCTGCAGTGCACCAGCAGGCTTCTGGCAATTCGGTTCAAATAAATAAACGAATAAATATTCAGAGAACGATGGCGTCGTGAGAGATCCTGAAGTGCATCCATAAAACATGGTCGTTCCCAGCGGAGGAAAACAGAAGACGAAGGAGGGGCCCAACGAGGGTAAAGAAACCGAAGATCTTCCTGCCGCGTGTTTTTCCGCAGAAGGGAAACTCTTAGGCGGTGAAGGGATCGTTTTCACGGAGGGCGCGAGGACGGGTTTGGTGGCGTGTGAGGAAAAAGAAAGCAAAAGCGCTCTTTGAAAAACGACGCGTCGCGCGGATGTGCCTCGCTTTGCCGCGGAGCTGAAAATG